GCCAGTGCACTCCTTACTTTTGGTTATTTTTAAATCTCCACAAAAGCTCCCTCTTTCTTCTGTAGCCAATGCCTCTTGTTTGTGGAAGCAGTTCCAATTAATTTTCTATAAGGAAAAAAAAATCTACTGCCTCGAAAGTGCTGCAAGTATCCACATTGTTCTCCTGCATTGTTTTCCATATAAAAAAGGAATTCTTTGGAACCGCAGAGGCATTGAGTCGCCTCCACTCACTCTTTTTTAACCCCTCCCAGCTCACAAACAGTGGCTTTCAAACAGTGACCTTTCCTTTTCGTGAAGGCCAGCTTGTTATTTTGGGTGGGATTTCCCTGCCAATTGTTCTGTGTTTCCTCCTGCGTTGCTCCGTGGCGAAGCCGCTGCCACTGTTCCCACTCCCAGTGGGATAACCAGGGTGACCACCACCCTGTGCTCCTGCCCCCAGCCCTGCTTCTCTTGGGGGCTTGGGTGCAACCACGGGGAGAGCCAGACCCCTGGCAGCCTTTCCCATGTTCACATGGATGGCCCAAAACTATCAACTTCTGATAAGAGCCACAAATGATAAAATCCTGGCAACAGTGACCATTTGTACATGGTGGTATAACCATCATTCAGATGCTCAGAAATGCAAAGCTTTCTAGAACTGTTCTCAAAGGGCTTCACTCATGGGTGTCATAGGAAGACACACATAAAAACCTGATCTTTCCTAGTGAAACAGCTGATCCACTTCTCTGCACGGGAATAAACAGCTCGTTTATTTTCTGTGAGAGTCATCCCTGTATATTGTCTTTCTTGTAACAAGCTTTTCCTTAATATTACAAACCTCTTGGAAGGACATGCAGAACCTATCCCTTTTCTCATAGTACCTCTGCAGGACCTGAACTAGTTTGGATCACTACAAAATGCTGAACCCACAAGCAAAAAGCATGAGACACAAGTAGGATTCAGGGTGACCCCTGAAATCAGTCAAAACCTCTAATACAATCTTTAAACAGAAACTTGGCTACCTGAAGCAGAGAGGTGCAAAGTCCACCCACTCCAGGGGATTTTTTTGAAATAACCAAGATGTAAAATACAGATTTCACTGGGCTGAAGGATCTCATCTCGATTTCTAGACACTGACACTGAGCCTGGCAACAAGTCCTATCAAAAATAAACTCAAATACACTCAGCAGAAAAACATGTACATCTTGATTCCATGAGGACTGCTGCAGGCCTAGGAATCTGGAGCTCTGAGCAGACAGGCTTTGTTTTAGGAGCGACATGTTCTGCTACATTCATAAGAAAATGTTCTCAGAAATTCTAGCACATCAGGAGTTTGAAAGCTCCTCGTTGGGCCTGATTTTGGGATGCAACCCGAGTGTGAAGAGATGAGGTTTCTTGGTGTCTCATGAACTTGAAGTGCTGCTTTTCAGCCAAAGCCTATCTAGACCCTGCCCTCAACTTGCATGTACAAGGCACAGAGACAATAAGTGGAGTTTTCTAAATACTAATTTAATTTTCAGTTATAAAGCTGTTTATATTTCAGAATTCAAAATGAGACAAATTGTATTCTTTTACCCAAAATACTTGTAAAATTTTTTACACCTATTTCTTTCCAGGTAATAGTTTCTATATGCACTGACTATATGGAAAACCTCAATGTCAAAATTTTAAGAGATACTTATCTATTTTTACGTCTATTTAGTAATTTAACAAACTTCAGATGACGGAGAAAAAAGATTATTCTAATATAATCTTTTGTCTTATTTCATTGAGAGGTGTGACAGGAAGCTGAGATCCTATGCTAGCCAAACTCTTAATGCATTACACTAACAATATAGGTAAAGCCTTGAATAATTGGAAAAAAATTAAAATAAGTGGGAACAAAAAGGAGAAAATGACCCTCCCACTGAACCCTTCAACACTGGCAAACACCTACTTGTGTTCAGAAAACAGTGTGAGGCAGAAGGAAGGTGACAAAAAGAAAAAACAACATCTACAATTTCAAAATGTTTCCTGAAGATTGAAACAAGATTAAAATTAAAACTTAAGGAAAATATTTTGCTGCACCAAATACTTTTCATGCAAAAGTCTCTATTTTGCATGATAAATGTTTAAGACACAAATGTTGGCCATCTGTAACAGCAGCAGTGAGTGAGGCAGCAAGAGGAAAAAGGTGTTGTGGCAAATTGCCTTGCCTCCCTCTGGCGTGCTGCACTGCAGTGAGCTGGCCCTGGTTCCAGAAGCATCAATGCCATATTTGTGTTGTGAGAAATGCAAGGTGCTCAGGCCTGGGAAAAGACCTCTTCTTGCGTCCACACTGCCTGTTCCAGAACTGCTTCAATACCACACTTCTCACTGCATCCGGAGTGAAACATTTCCTCATCTCTATTTCTGCTTGTAGAGAAATCACTTTTTCCTCCTTGTGAGTAATTTGGGCTACTAATGCAGCAATGAATATACTACCTAGCAGGAAAAAGGGAAATAAATATGTATAAGTGGCTCTCCTGCTATTTGTGTGGGCTTGTGTGTGCCTGAGCACAGACAAACATAAATACACACATATCTTATGCCTACAGAATATTTCTGTGTGTTCAGTGGCTCAGTTCCAGTGCAACTACAAATGCCTGTGCTCATTATAGGAAAATGTATGGTTCTTACCTGAAAACTCTCTGAAATCTCTAAAAACATAAAGGCACCTGCCTCACAGCAAACATCTCCCCTGAGCTCCTTTTATCAAGCAGTGTTTATACTTGGAGTGTATGTGACACTGTTCACCTGAGACATCATTATCCAAAAGTCCTCTAAAGCTTATTCCAAACTATCGGAAAAAAAAAAAAAATTAACATCCTTCTTCAATCACTCTTTTAACCAGTTCTTAACACATCTCCTCATCCACTCATCGATCCCTCTCCCCAGTACACTTCTATTCATCCCACTAATGAGAGGCAGATTGATTTCTACCATTTCACCTTCGGCTGCCTTATTGATGCACGGCTTGTTCAGAGGGAGAAGAGTCACCCTGTGGTAGCAGTAACAGTGAAGCTCAGTCAGACGACACTGATGCTCTGGGTTGAAAGGAAGTTGGGGCTCTTCTGATTTACACAAATCCAGTATCTTTCATGTTAATGAAGAGGACTTTTTGAGAGCTAAAGCTAAATTATAAACTGATCAGAGCTTCCCAGCAGCAGTCGTCTTTGTTTTAAAATGAATGACTGTCTTTACAGAATCTGAGATTATCTGCTAAGTGATTACATACCTACACACATGGCAAAAGATTGCACCTTCCCTGCACCCCTCTCCCGTCAGTGTCAGTATTATTGTTATGTGCCCAGTCACCTCTGTGGGCCCACTCCAACGTGAGCTGTGAGAAATGCAGCTGTTGAATAACAGGGAGAGTTAAGGAAGTGATGTGGGTGGCACATCTTTCCAGCAGTTCAAAGACTGTTCAAACAGTTCTGCTTCTTCTGCCTGTCTGGCTCTCTCTCTTTCTTTTTTCCACATTTAGGCTTTAGTGTCTCTCTCTTTTCCCAGGGGTACATGTTAAAGGAAGTTTAACCCATCATCGGGATATATACCCCATTTCCATGTTATTCCAGCCTACTTGAAAAGATGATGTATTTGATAGCTTTTAGCTAGGCTCTATCATTCTGAATTTCCTCTTTTTTCCATGTTGCACTTATGATTTGTGATGGGCAAATCTCAAAAGATTAGAAACTTGGCTTGGATAAGCAACCCTACATTTAAAGTTTGCATTTCAATTTTTAGCGATTGGGGTCACTGCAGCAAGCGGATGAATTACCTGTCTCAGATTACTGGGATTTGAATGACCAGAGACTTTGGCATACTTTAGGAAGAGGAATAAGCTGATAGCTGTATTTCCAGATAACATAGTTACCTTGTCCCAAAATTAAACAGACCAAGGGTATTTATTGTTTTTCAGTCACATTAGGGGAAATGAGAGCTTAAGGCATCAGAGGATTGTTTTGACTTTGGAGATGGACTCAAATGCTGTATCCCATGTAAAGGGTTTACCCTTTGGATGCTCTGGCCAGACAAGGGGCAGGGGTAGAGATGAAAGCTGTGAATGCTTGTACAGGTGATGTCCTTTCAGAACATAAAATGTGTGTACTCTCCAAATGCACCAATGACTGCAAGGCACCTATATTTTCCTCCGGGCTGCAGAGTGCACTCTTAGCTCACTCTCCCTGGAAGACTTTGTTATTGTTACTGTGAAAACCTTAACTGTTCTTCACTGACATTTGGCACCGCTTTGAAATCAACTTTCCATAGAGACAGATTGACTACAAAATTGGCCTTGACTGTATTTTCTCACTGAGAATGCAGACAGAAGATGAAAATCAAAATTTAATCCTGTTGCCTGCAGTAGCAAAGCACAAAACAATGCCTATCTGGGATGTAGTATCTGTCTTTTTATTTATCTATTGTATGTCTGTGTCTGAGACAAGTATGTTCTTGCTTTGTTTCCAAACACAAGAGCATCACAGAAAATACCTCTGATGAACAAAACAAAAGTACCTACTTTTTTTTGCGAGCTAAAAACCAATCTGGCTACAGACGACAGAAGGGTCTGACTAAAACTGGGTGGAGGATTGATGGAATTTTGATTTCTCAAAAAAGTTCTCATCAGGGAGCTCTGAGGGTAATAAGCAGGAGACAAAGCAGTTCACAAGGTTTTTTTTTTCAATTTTTACAGACCTGACAAAGTCTATCTGTAAGCATTTTGGGGCAGGAGCTGGGTAAACATTACTGATATTGGCCACAGGTATCTAAAATGGCAACACAAAGCAAATATTTTCTCCAGTACCAGCAAAATGGGTGCTCAGCTCTTTGGAAGGTCTGGCCTGAGAGAGTGGTACAATGAAAAAACAAAATGGTTTCCTCAAATGGGTGGTACGAGGCTTGGGAAATGAATGTTTGTGGAGCACTCAGCCCCTGGTATGAAAAGGGGCTGTGAAAGTTCAAAGTATTATTGTTATGGCATACTTACTCAGCAAGGCAGGGAATATCAAAGGCTTTATTCTCCCAGCTGGCTCAGCCTTATCTCAAGGAACTCTTGGTGGGTGGTGATGGCTCTCAGGGACTGGTGATGACAGAGGAGTGAAGGCACTCACTTTCCTTGCAGAGCTGCTCTGGGCACCTTCCTGGTCCTGCCAAGGCTCCAGTTCCTCTGTGGTGCTTTTTGGTGAATGCACTCACCATTCCCAGAGAAAAGCCTGGAATGAAAACACAGAGCTCTGACACCTGGCTAAGAGAGGCACTCAGACAAGGGCTTTCACTCATGACTGGTACATTGGGAAGTAATTGATACAAATTGCTTCAGACATTCAAGGCTGCTCGTCCACCTTCCCACAGGTAATTTTTAGGCCAATTAGGCAGATGAAGTGACACCAGAATTAATTTGGGTACACTCAAATGTTTGGTTTTTTTTGTCTTTTGGAGTTTTTTAATGCTTTTCTCTAGATATATGGCAAATTTCTGAGTTACAAAGAGCAAATACAGGGATTTTTTTTCTTTTCTCTCTCCTCTACTACGTGATATTCAAGCACTGAAAGACTTGCTCACTGCAAAACCACTTACGGCTGATTGCTGTGGAATTTCCTCTCAACACCTTAAATCCAAAGCAAATAACAGAATATGAAATAACATATATTCTTGGCATTGGGCTGCATGAGAGCTCCTCTGGGTCGGTTGCAAAGCAAAGGCTACCAACCCACTCATCAGAAGATAATATACAATTAACTAATTCATTATATAGATATTTTGGGTGGGGAGATATGAATGGCTTATCACTATTATTGTTATCATCATTATTATTAGCTGCTGTTTGCTAAGATGGAGTTTTTCAAAGCCTTCTTTCACATTAAGGAGCCCAAATTCCCATGTTAAATCCCACCCTAAATTTTATGGTGATATCTTTTGCAAGCTACTGGGGAATACAGGCAAGGAGGGAAGTATAACAGGTGAGATAATATTCATGGCTGTTATTACCAGAATTTATGAACAAGCTCTTCCTGTGCTATTTGAATATAATTCATACATTTGGGCTAAGGGGAGATCCAGAAGTATTCTCCAGCAAAGCCCCAACCTGTGCAATGTTTTCCCAGATAAGGAGCTACTGTAACTACCATGGAAAAGGTAAAACCTGACTGCTGGCCTCTGCAGTTATTGCTCTTTCACAAACCCTTCCAAAAGCTGGAAGCTTCCCAGTGCTCTGGAACAGGCAAGCCATGAGCTGCCCTAGGCTCACAGGCCGGTGATCAGCTGGGTGAATGCTGGCGCTGCCCAAGCCCCCAGGAGATGTGCCCCTGAATTTGGCAGGGCACCTCTCTGCCTTTGCAGGCTGAGCTGGTGAGGAGCTCTGCCTCCCAAGCTCACTCCCGTGGATCAGCGTGAGTGTGTGCTGGCTGTGCAAGGTGGCGGCTCCTGTGCAGTGCCCAGCCTGCAGGATGTGCGCCAACGCCACGGGCTTTGTTCTCCATGGGCAGAGAGGTGGGCAAGCTGGGTTTTGGCCTTTGCAACAGGCAGGGCTTGCAGGATCAGCTGCCACAGCAGCTGTGATGTGAGTGCCCTGATTTTGCCTGTGCCCTCGGTAACCCCAGGCTGATACATGATGGAAGGTGGTCATGAAATGGCACCTAATTGTGAGACACAACCATCCCAGACCCAGGGAAACCAGGACTCCATTCTCTGCTGCAAAACACAGCACTAGTTCAGAGCATTCCAAATGGAATTGAGTGAGAGGCTTCCCTTGCTCTTATGTCACAGTCCCAACTTTTCACTGTGTTACGTCATAATTAAGCACAAGAATTTGAGTCTGACTGCAGTTTACCTTCACATAAACACTAACTAAACTTTAATAAGTATCTGATGCTTAGGAAAAAACCCTTTAACACATCAGCAGAAATAAATGGCTTTTTACGTTATTTTACAATATCACACATACCTCTCCCCTAATTTCTTTCTGAAGGCAACACATACATAATTTTGAGTCTCAAGTTTTTTCTCACCCATATCTCCTAAGCATATCTCAGCACTACGATGGTTGGTAGCAGAGGAGTAATTAATACTTTCCAATAATAAATTACAGATCTGGGGCAGAAAAATTTCAAATATCACCAGCTTCTCAATATTGAACTGCTCCAAGATGCATTTATTTTAGACAATCCAGGCTGTAACCTTACCTCAGAATCCTGAGTCATCAAAACTCCTTACATGAACAAAAGTCCCAATCCATTGAAAAAGTCCTTTTAAGTGTCATTTTTAAACCTAAAGTCTTCATAAGGTGCTTGCCCTGTTTCCTCCCCTAAAAGGGTTCATAGCTCCTGTGAATTCCTGCCTCATCACCCACTTCCCTGGCTCACATCTAAGCACCATATTCACCTTTTTATCTCCACCTGTGCCTTGCAGTGAATCTTACCATCGTATCTCTTTAAGCAGTACCAGCTGATGGTGCTGAGACCCACTTGCAGAAAGATCTTCAGTCTGTAAAAAGCTAAAAAAAAGAACAAAACACAATGTGTTAATAATACATTTTCAGAGACTTGTAGGAAACATTGGCAACTGGTCTCTACCATGACAATGAACTATGAGGAAAATACTGAGCTTCCAAAATGGCAAAAATGATATTCTCACAGGCACAACATCAAGGGAGTTGTCCTCTGTCCTTGCCTGTAGCACAGATAATGGATTTTTTTAAATCCCTTGTATCAGCAGCTTCATAGTAGAACATCCCTGCGAGGTCACTAAAAGCTGAATCTCACAGAGAAAAGTAATTTCTCCACAGTCTTTCAAGAAGTCTTTGTAAAAAGGGACAATGTAGCAGAGGAGGGAAAGGAAAACTGCTGCAAATATTTGAAAGGGTCAAAATTAAAAGAAAGTTGGCGTTTATTTACAATGTCTTTGTGTTGGCACTAGATATTCATGCATGAAAATTTTCCTGAATTTTCTAATAGAAATTACTCCAAAGGAATAAATGCTTTGCTTCAGTCTCATTTTGTCATGCCCATGAACATACCAGAGATGAAAGGTACCTGGCTGAATTTGGGTAAAAATAGATGGGATTTTGAAAAGCAGGAAGAAATGCCTGGGAAAAGTCACCTACATATGGTCTTAATCATGCCAATGGATAACCCCCACATTACCCTTTAAAAGGTCATCTGATAAACATCAACATTGGGCTTTTCTCACAAACCCAACACCTAAAATTGCTTCAGGCTACTGTAATACGGCATGAGAAGTTAAATTAGAAGCATATATTTGGTAATAGCACCTCTGAGAGGGAGTCTTCAAAAGCCTGTGCCCCCATTAAAGGATTAGAAGTCCAGCACACATATCAGGAACTGCTCTCCATCCAAAGAGAAACAGAACAGGAGACAGAAATAAGCATTTTGTTCTGATTAGCTTCTTTGATTGATGTAATGTCTTAATTACCTTTTTTTTTTTTTTTTAAACATTGCTGCAAGCCTGCCACTGAGGGAAGTACTATAAAGAATACCACTATGAAGTAGAGATATCAAGCTCTCCCTTATCTCTTGTGGGTCTGGTAGTGATCTTTCCGGAATACTTGGTGGTGAGACATAGAGAACAAAGCAGTCTCCAAGCAGCTGGTAGTCATGAGTCCATTTTTTTTCAGGGGTACTCAATATCCAAGTTACAGACTTGGAGGTAAAATCATTCAAGAATAAGAATGGGGTCATTAAATACTTCTGGAAATGTGCAAATTCTGTATGAAACAATGGAAGATATATTAAAAAAGAAGCAGGGATAATTAGTCAGTACGTTCAAAAGCACTTCCTTGTTGTTTGGGCATTTTCCCTTCTGGAAGCAAATCCATCCAATTTTCCCTGAGTGCCAACATTTTGGGGTTATCTGCCCCAAAGGCAAATAGATCAGATTGTCCAAGAAATAAGGATGAAGGCAAAGGGCACACCCTAAGGATTGAAGACTGGCTGAGAAATTGGTGAGTTTAAGGGAAAATAAATTCTCTGTCTCAAGGTCACTGATGATTTTAGGATGTATGTACATGGAGAAGAACACTGCTAACCACAGGTTTTTATACTTTTGGTGTTTTTCTCTTGCTCCTGACTCAAAGTTCAGGGCATCTCTCCACTTTCCAAGTAGAGTTCTGAGTTATGCTCCGGCACTTGTGGGTTTTAAGAAAGGATAAATGGAATTTAAAATTTTGCTCCGATCTTGCAGCCAGTCAGAAAATTCTCTGCACATAGGTTTTCATGGAATTTCCTATTTATTTCATCCCAAATTCATCCTTTTAATTCACAAATCAGGAAACAAAATTTCCTCAGTGCTGGCTGTACAATTCTTGCCCAAGAACTGGTGATCAGGCTCTGCTCCTTTTTCCATATTTCAGGATTTGTGGGGGGTACAGCCTTAATTTCTGAATCTGTTAGAGGTGAGCAAGGCATGACAGAAGTGGCCTTGCCTTCAAACAGACACAGTGATTTTGAACTTGTAAATTTTCTCTCTCTGAAGCCCTAAGTTATCCTTGTGGGTTTTCTCTCCTGGATTCATGAGAGTAGTAGAGTAGCTCAACTGAATTTTCTTTCCCACCTCGCACTGAAGAGGGACATTTCTGAGCCCATTTTTTCCATTATTTCTGTGCTTAACAGGTCCCACCCCTATGGACTCCTATCTTAAGAGCATACAAGCAGGAGCAGGCTGCTGCAGCAGGAATCCAGAAGCTGGAGCTGTCAAACCAAACTTTATTAGATACCAAAGGGTCTAATAAAAGAATGGGTGTTTGTTGTATTTCTGGCAGGGATGGTTGCTGAAAACCCTGAAGAGAAGGATCTGAGACACCTCAGCCCCCAAGTTCCGATGGATGTATTTCTAGTTGATCAATCTCTCTGTCTTTGTGCCTGAGCTACTTCCCACTTCAGGCCTCTGACAGCTGGACAAAGCAGGGTTTGAGCTGTGCCTTGCTCTAAGTAAGTGTGGAGAGATGTTTTCAGTCTGACCTTGCCAAATCCGGCCCAGGCTTGGGGCGTTTGCTGAGGTCTAGGGAAGATTTTCCCACTGAATTGCAAGTGGCAAAAACGAACTCTATCCACAGCAATGTGCTGGAGTACTGACGTGACAAATGTTTGGGGAGACAGGAATATACCTTATAATCTGCAGAGCCTTTAGCTTCATAAAGCAGAGGAAAATACTTATATATGTTGATTTGGTGGTGGTGGGGATTGTTAAAAGTAAATTATAACTTGAGAAACAGAAGGAATATATTTAACAACACAGTGGATGTGTTCATTATTATCCGTCTATATTAAAGATATAAGATTTGGCAAGAGGAAATGGGCTTTGTTTGGCTTTTTGTTCTCAAGTTCTCATATTTTCTTAAAGACCATCAGATAATGAGACGTAGAAGCACACATACAGATATAATATGGTGCAGTAATAAACAGAATGTAATACCAGACAGCAAAAGCAAATCTTCCACATTTAAACACTTTTGTGCATTTTTTTACTGTCTACTTTTTTCTCCTTGTCTTAAAACAATAAAAAATCCCAATTCAAATAATGGCAAACTCCCTTCAGGATTTCACCCAGGATTTCCATACCGTACAACAATAGTTCCCCTCCCTCACTTGTTACCCTACTTTCTATTTCTTCCCTAGAGTCAGAATTGTTGCTGTGCTAAATAATTAAAATGCCACTGTTTTTTTCTTGATCACTTTTTACACCTAGGACTGTTTTATTTCCAAGATTGCCCTGAGTATTTTCACTGTCCTGAGAAAATATTTTGAATGAGCGTGTCATATGTTAATGATAAATACAGTGGCTGATACTTCATAGAGTCAATAATGGACCTTTTAAGATATTGCAGAGAATTTCTGTTCTGCTTTTAAATAGCAACTCTTCCATAATTATAATGATGAATGTAACAACAACAACAACAACAATATTCTCAGTCCTCTGCCAAGTGTACCAACTTGTGTCGGAGATGGAGAGAGATGAATTCATCATATTAATGTCCTCCTTTCTCCACAGGAGTAGAAAAGGTGTGATAACAATCATGCTTCCAGACTTGCTTGTGAACACTCTTTTCAGCTGGCAATAGCTCATATTTGGGACTAGAAGAGGGGAAGCAGCCAGGCACCTTAGCTAGTACTGTACCAGTCTGGCTCCACATTTCTGCATTTCCTGGTAATGCTCGATCAGGCACAATTGCAAAGGGGAGCCTGGAATGAGTAAGAGAAAAATGAGATGTCAAATCTTACATTTAGAGGACTCAGAAAAGCATGTAAATAATAAGGCATTGATATCCTGACAGATTGCTCAGCCAGAGGGGTGAAAATGGAAAATGAAAATCTGTTGAATAAATAAATTAATTTTTAAATCTATAAGTGGTTTTATTAGATTAATATCCTCTTGCACCAGATTATCCTACAGAATTCAGTTCCCAAACTACCTCCCAGTGTATTAAACAGTGACATGTTCAAACAGAACAGTACAAGGGAAAAGCCAAAGGAACCCTTGCTGGTTGAGCACGCCCATAAATGTGTTTCCACCAGCTCCTGTGAGCAGCCTTTCCCAGCACAATCCTTTGCTGGTCCCCAGAGCACTGGATATTGTACTGACATCAGAAACCCACTGCCCCACACAGGGCTTCTTTGCCAGATTTCTGTTAAGCGAGCAAGAAACAGCAGCCCTTTTTGTGACTTTTCTCTGCAGCAGATAACTGATACCAACCTTCAGTAGGTGGAATGTGGGCTCAGAAGATGCAGGTTCCAGGTCCAGGCCTGTTGCTGACCTCCTGAACAACATCAGACAGGTCATTTCATGCCTCTATATAATGCATGTAATGATACTGAACTCCTCTGTGAATTGCTTTGAGTCTCACTGGGAGAAAAAGTCTGTAACCCCCCCCAAAAATATTTCATGAATAATGAATTGCAGGGATGATAGTACATGAAATGTGTAACAAAAAGCCATTTAAAAGCTCAGTGCATGGCAAGTTAACAAAACATGGGTGAACTGGAGGCTCAGTTCTCACAATTCTCTCTCTCATCTAATAAAATGGCTTTTTAAAGTCTGGACAAGTGAAAATAGACTTACTAATTGCATCTCGTTCATTTCTAGATGGAAAGATTAATCACAGGAGCCAGGTGGGGGTTTTTTTGGCTCTTGACTGATTTAGTCTAAGTGGTCAAGGACATTAGTAGGATTTATTAGTGGGAATCACTCAGCAATACTAGTTCTGTCTCAATCAGATAAGAAAAAAATTAATTTTTCTCTCTTTCTGGGCTTGATCCTTTTGCAGGTTCAACTCTTTCAAATGTGGAACAGGTTGATCCTAAATCTACTACGCCATGTTTAACTCTAGAGCCACTTTTCCTACCTGATGACTTAAGACTTGTGAGTGGGTCTGTCTGCCTACTCAAACCCAAGTTGGGAGAGAAGGTGACTGCTGTGGTGGGATTCTCCACAGCGCTGAGCCATTCCAATAAACACGCAAAGCCCGGGTGCTGTGCTCTGCGGCTTTGTGTGTGATTTGGCTCTGTGGAGGGTGCCTTCCAGCATGCTTTTACATGTGGTTTGGCCATGCTGAGGCTATTTCACAGCTTGCTTTTACATGTGGTTTGGCTGCAGCCAGGCTGATTTACTGAGAGTCTTTACATGGAGCTTGGCTGTGTTATACTGAGGTCTACATATTTGGGAGCTGCACTAAGACAGTGCAGGTCTTAATTCTGGAGAACAATTTAGATAAAGTGAGAAGTCAAACCCAGCCTGGCACTGCTCCCTGCAGCACCATAATAAAAATCCTCAAGCACTGTAATGCCCCAGCTTCCTCCAGCACAACCAAAGCACTGCTGCCCTGGCTCCTGAAGTAGAATATTTTCTGTTTTAGATGCAGGGGATTAGATGTAAATCCTTCCCTCCATCTCAGAGCCGGGATCCAAGTGGCTTCCAGCTACGTCAGCTGCTCCACCTTGGTGTGGGTTGAATGTAGCATCAATAATACATTACATAAAGACTGAGAATTATCAAACCTTTTCATAACCAGCAATCTATAACCAATATTTCTCCAGGCAGTTTCAGCTGCATATATTTCAAAGTGACAAAACTCCCCAAAATCGTTATTCCCGACCCACACAAAACACGCTGGCAAACTTCAATGAGTAACTCTGAGGTATAAACATGGAAGAGTTATTTTGATGAAAAGATTCAGGCACGACTTTTGTCTAACATTAGCTCCTTTTGAAACATTTGTCCACAGATGTCCTTTACAAACTGTAATATCTCTTCTCTGTGTAGTATTAATCAAGATAATTCCTTTCAGACAAAGAGGATTATTCACTAATTTTTCAGTCTAACTTTTCTCTCCCCTTTATGTCTCTGTTTTTCATTGCCTGGATCAAAATTCCCATTACCTGCAATTTTCTTGTTTTATGCTTCCAAGGCAAGATGGAACTAAAACCTTCCAGGCTTCCTATCACATAGCTGCCAGTACTGTTCTAATTTTGATTTTCCTTCCTTTTATGTGCAGTGACTGAGATTTACATGGACACAGGTTTTATATCAATTGTCTCATAACTTGTCTTTACTTTTGCCTGTCAGGTCTCAAAGGAGATAAGGCTGGGAAGGAAAGTAAAGGGGGAATTACAGTTATAGTGAATTCACTTCCAAGAATTCTCCTAGAGAGACAGGTATAATTTCCAGATGCTCTTGCAGGATTTAGCAACTTAACAGGGCATTAGGTGTCACTTAAAAGTTTTAATCTCATACCAGGGACTGAACTGCAAAAAGAGTCCAACAAGCAGAATACTGTAATACAGTAGAGCAAATGCTACTCAATGAGCAAGTTTTCTAGAAACAAACATGCTCAGCAGATGAATTAGAAAAGGCAGCACAAATCCTTTCACCTTTGGTCAGTTTTTGAAGCAGTAATCTGAGTGAGTCATTGGAAGAAACAAATAATTTCTCACTGAAAATGTGAAGGAAACACTCCAGCCATTAATGTTTTGACATAGAGAGAGCATTTGATATTAAAAAATTTTAAATGCTTGTCTGCATTCGCTTTTTGTAAATTTTGCCTTTTGGTGAAAATGTTCTGCATCCAGGGCAACTGCTGTAACCTGGATGAGAGCAGCATCTTCCAAGAAAGTTGAGTGACTGAGCACAGCATCATCTGGATGTCACTGTATTTTACCTTTTGTATTTTCCCTCAGCTCAGAAGGCTTGGTAGAACCTCCCTTTCCTGAGTTCAGAGTGGATTTGCAGAATTTCTTCTCCCAGACTGGAAGAAAGACGAAAAAAAAAATGGTGAGAGGAACGTCTTATTTTGTTGTTGTTTGCTTGGGTTTACTTTGGTTTTGAGGTGGGGTTTTTTTGGGTTTTGTTTTTTTAAAACTTTATTTCTGAATTCCATGAAATAAAGTTTTTGATGATCTAAATGTATCTATTTTGATTTCAGAACTCAGATTTTTTTTTTTCAGTTAGCATTTATAGAACAATTAAAAATTTCAGTTTAGTTTTCATAAACAGGTATAAAAATTCATAATTAAAAGTACTTTCATTGAAGTCATGATATGCTTTTAGTAGAAGAGATGCACTTCAGATCACTTTCCAAATTTTTTTTTCTCAGTAGAGTTCATGACTTGCCGTGTGATGAGGGGGACACTGGAATTTAACAGCGTGAACCATGTTTCATTTATCTTTGTGATCGAGCTGTAAACAACCCACATGGAGACACCCGGGCCATCACGTGGACTCATAAAACACAGCGCGTAACACTGGTGAGGAAACCTGCACAGTGCTCTCAGACCAAATTCCTGCTTATCTTCCTCTGAAGATAAGAGCCAAATTAAGCTGCTCCTTCTGCTAAAAAATGGCACCATGGGAGGCAGAAAGGCTCAATATTCCCTGGGGGCTCCAGCTATGAGTTAGTGCTTTCCAAACCCTTCCACGTGTTGGCTGAAATGAAGCCAAGGTTTCTTCACCACTGCTATCATATCAGTTTTAATCAGAGTCCAGCATCTGAAGTACAAGGATTTGTTTTCAAATTAACCACATATTGCATCTCTTTGATCGGAAATTTTTACTGCCACTCGTTTATTGGGTCCTCAGGAGTGCATTTGGAAGTTTAAAGAGTTCAAAATCAAGAGTTTCAGAGTTCTCTCCCAAAACCTAGAACTTCTCATTGTTAGGCTTGTCTCCCAGCTAAGAAAAGATAAAAGCCCTTTTAAATTATTTTGAGAAAAAAGTTATGACTTTTCCCTCAAGAACACCATTCTGATCTGCACTCACAGGAGAACTGTTGGTAGCAAGCTTGGGATACAGCAGAAGAGCTGCCTAAAAGAGAAGCAAAGTTTCTTTAGTTTTGAACTTTTTGTGGGTTCTGGTCTTTTCCTTGTAGCTTTTCAGAGATAATGAATGAAAAATTGGCACCTTGTCCTCAGAAGTGACATGACCTCAGCTGCATTTACCAATACTTGGCACCTGTAGGCTCCCATGGAACAGAAGACATTTCCAAGACCAGTAGGACAGGACCATACCCATGTACATCTATCCTATTTCTGTTACTATTAGCACCAGACAGGAGGATGATGGACTGGGCACAGGGTATTGCTTTACAAAAGTCCTGCTGGTACAAAGCACCAACAGCTTTTCCCCTGTGAAATTAGTGCTGAGCTTTGCTGTCCCAAGGCTGGTTCCTATCATTCCCAATGACCTGTGCTGGAGCAGCAGATTTTGTGACAGAGACAATTGGAGCTGCCTGAATTGTTTCTTTGAATTATTTTCTTTGAATTATAATTCTTTGAATTATTTTTTTAATTCAGCCCTTCCTCCCATCCTAACTCCACCTGTGGAGTCTCGTTGGCAGCTACTGGGAATGCTGCACACATCAATGGCCAACATTCCTGCTGGGGGCAGAAATAGGCGGTTGTGCAAGGAGGGACTGGCAGGTTGTGCTCTTTCCTGTACCACCTGTGAGCTGACACCTCACTGCTCAGGCAGTCCTGTTTCCAGACATCTCAAAGGAAGGTAAGATGAAGAAAGTTCTGAGAATATTGTAATGCAGAACATAATTCTTCTCCTTTTACTAGGGATCCTAATTTTTTCTCCTTGTCCTCCTGAAAACAGACTAAAGGGAAGCTGAATGACAAATCAAAAACTGCCTCTTTCCTGAGGTCAGGAAAGACCTCAGGCTGGGATCAGGGCTCTGCCATGCCATGCCTTTGCTAGCAAAGGATGCAGGGAACAGGGGTACTGCTGGCAGTGCTGAATCTTTCAACAAGGAAAGGAAAAAGAAGATGAGAATGAAGAGCAAATTCAGCTTTGGGAGAATGGACATTCCCTAATCCCTGACAGAAATAAATGAGGATAATGCATTTTCCATGCACTGCTGTGAGACACGGGCTGAACTGGCTGCCACAGCATTTCTCCAGCAGCCACTGCTCCACAAATAACAAACCCCATCCAGGCAGGGTGAGCCACTTTTGGAAACTTACCAGAAGCACAAAAAGACTATGTTTTCCTCTCCTTCTACCCAGTCAATCCTCCTGCTGGACACAACAGCTCTGCACACCCACATACAAATATACGCTACTGCTAAGATAATGTATCATTGAATTCCAATAACCAGACATCCACAGCATCAGAAGAGCAGCTAACCATGAACTGGTGTTTTGCACTGACCACTTAAAATGCAATAAAGGGTACTGAATCCCAGGAGCTCAGGGGAAAAAAAACCCAAAGGTACCATGTCAGTAGATGAACTCAAACTTTAAGAGCTTTTCCTATTATTTTTCTACTCTTTAATGAGTAGATTCAGTCTGTATAGAAATGTCTTCTTTCCTAAGTGCTAAACTCTGCACTGGACCCTGCTGTTGATAGAGGACTTTGAAGAAATCTGTTCTCTCTCCCTGTTCCTTTGCCTACAGAACATGAATTTGATCCCAAGACTAATTCTCATGTTGAAAAGAAGTTCTTCACATTTCTCAGCATTGTTTGAGAGTGAAGAACGCACTGAGAAGGGCTGCCCCTGTCTTCAGGGTGAGGTTCCTAAATTATAATCATGAGAAGAAAGACTTTGCCACTAAATAATGTAAAGTGTAAGTAATGAAATAGAGGAAGGAATCAAAGTAGGAGAGCCAATTCTTGGAGATTCAATACTAATACTAATAATACTAATAATACTAATAATAATAATAATTTATTCATTACTGGAGATAAGCCACACTGAAGGTGTTTGTAGATGTGAATTTTGACTAATATTTCTAAAAACTCTTCACCATCCTCATTTTACTTGTATTGAAGAAAGAGGGATGCAGGAACCACAGAGCTGTAAGGACTGAGTAGGATCCAAGCAGTTACATGCATAAATGCCAAAAAAAAAAACTATTCTAATCTAGAAAGAGTTACAGATCCTGTAGCTTTCCCCTGCTACTTCTGGCCTCATGGACAGTACAAATTAGCAGTTAATGGAATTGTTACTGCAGCACTGTGGAACATGCAGTGTGCCACTGGAGAGAATTTCCAAATGAAATTATGTACTTTGGCTCTATAACCAAATAAATTTCACAGGCTTCAGGCCCTCCTGTAATGCACAAGAAAATCCCACTTACTGAATTTTCTTGCAAACCACCCTATTTCTGGAACTAGGATCTTATTTAACTGAGCAATTACAGAATGATATTAAAGTTCCTCAGATAAAAATCAACTAGAATAAAATTCTTTATTGGTGGTGTTTTCCTCCTTCTCTAGGTTTTCTGTTTTCTTGTGAATTTTAACAGCAGTCAGTACTCATGAAAAAGTTTTTCATCAGCACTTAAGCCTCAGTGCTGAAACCTGAACAGGAAACAATCTACAGAGAGAAAACCCCACACGTGCAGAAGCACTGGGGCCTGCCTAACGCAGCTGGAAAACTCCTGAGGCAAAGGAAAGAGGGAATCTAAGTGAAAAATCTGCCTGCGGCAGTATATCCCATTGGAAAATTCAGGTTTCACATCTGCCTTGGTTGGCTTATAAATAAAAAAAATAAAAACAATTCATTATTCAAACAAAACAGTTTGCCATACTAGTTTTACCCAGTTGCTTGTGTTAGAAATTTAGCAGCATTAATAGAGAGTTTTTTTGACTGCTGAAGAAAACATCTTTCCCATGATTTACGCTGGTGTACACTCAGATAAGAACTCTGAACATAGTCCATGTCTGAGGCAAAGAGAAACATATAAGTGCTTTAAATCAAAGCACAGGATTGCCATGCTTTGATTTAAAATTCATATATAAATGGATTATTAATTTATGAAAGCTCTAGACAAGATGCAGCATGACCCTGTGCAGAATTGCTCCTAGGCCTCAGTGGTGAGCTCCTGATTACAATGGTTCCCATGTTGCATCCAATTTCAGTGCAATTTTGAGTGTGGTCTTCCAAGAAAAATCATCATCTCAGCATGTTATCCTGAAATACATCTTAATAAATCACAGCCAGTATTGAGACTAAAGGGGGGGAAGAGAAAACTTCTCACTAAATTGTAACCAGTAGCCTTGAAAATGAAATATTCCTGCTAAATTCCCATTAAATTTTCTCCTGTGAGCATGCTACATTGAGTCTTGTAGACAAGGGAGTCATTGCTTCAGTTAGATTAAATAGTTGCATCAAATTTGATTTACAATCTGAAGAGCTAAAGAAAATAGCTGGTTTTTTTCATTAGCCATACAACGAGTAGATTTCTCAGCTGGATGTCCTACATTTGTCACTCCCCAACAACTTAGTCGTAATATATTGTCCCTTCCTCTTACTTAGATATTATTTCAATAATTTATCAATTTAATTAATAATTGGTTGATAATTGTCCACATAATCTCTGTATGGAGACAGTCAACACTTTCCTGAAATGTTTTAGGCTTTACCATAGTCTTGGAGGATTTGGGCTTTTTCCCCCTCACAAGAAGCAGGAGTAATTTTTCTGTTACTGTGGAAGTGAATAAATGCCCAAAAGTTTAAAAATGTCCTCTTTTGGCCACTAAGTGTTTTATCAATGCAACATTTAACACTATAATGGAAGATTTGAGACTACTCTTAATTTTGGGCCCATCAGACTTATGGGGACTAGTTAACATTGGCACCAGATGGATTTGGGTCAGGGAAACCTTAGGAAAAGCCAAAGCCTGCATTCACAGAAAGGTGAAAGGAGCACCTTTTTCTCTTTCCCACTTTTCTTCACTTTATAACTTTCTCTAGATTCATAGGCAGAAGTGTATAAGTTGTATATTCTTTTGTCTCGCCAAAAT